GAATTAGAACAACATCATTCATTTGTTACTTTTAAGGAGTACGATAATATTAAAAGACTGAATTATGTAACTAAACAGCTAGTCAATTACGTTAGTGACATTTATGATACATTTTTTTATATTATAAATTTAAACAAAAAGGTTAGTGATTTAAAGCAAAACATTATAATGTATTTAAGTAAAGAGTGTGATTTTAGTTGGTTTTCTTGCCAATTGCACAACGAAGAACTTAAAAACAAATTGTTAAGTAATATTTGGTTTATTTTGATTAAAAAGTTTGTCTAAGATACTTACAAATAAATCGTTTCACTTACAAATAAATCGTTTTTTTTGGTTTCCTGAAAAATTTGCAACACTGGACTTGTTCGGTATTGCATTGAACCCTTCAATTGTCAGTTAATTTCGGACCTAATGTTTAGTATCCACCGCCAGCCGAGTATTAATCGGAACCGGTGCGTAATAAAGTACCAAAAACATTAATTGATTATGTTATGTTATGCAAAAACCTAACAGATGGTTGGATCTATTTGAGATTTTTGAACTGTTTTTGTAGAGTTAAGAAGTTGCAGTTTTTTTACAGATGTCCGAGAAAGGAGAAGGATCAAATTGTGAGCAAGCCATGGCAAATGTAATGTTTCTAACAGGGAACGAAGAGCGTTTTTGCCTCGACAGCGTCGTCCTCTGGCATTAACTGAAACCTTTTACCAGGGTTAAAACTAATTAAAAATAATAATAATTACACCTACAGAGAATTGAACTTTAAAACTATTCAGCTTTATTTTTTTAGTCAAAAATAGTCGAATGTTTTCTTACAGTAGAATTTACAGTTAAGACGGTGCATTGCCACATTTAAAGAATGAGGGTATTTTACATAAATATTAAATAATCAATTACCAAAAGTCAACCATAAAACTCAATGTATGTTTGTATGTTTACTTTCCAAAACCCCCTCGACAACTGGGACTTGGCTCAATTTCATCATTTGTCCACTGATCAGGAGTTTTTGCCACAATGGAAAGGGCATGAACTCCTCCTTGCAGTTCGTCTTTTAAAAGATCATTTATTTTTCTATGTCTCTGAAAATAAAAATACATTTTAATGCGGGTCTGGAGAAATGTAAACAGCAGAATAGGGAGGTCATCAAAAGTTACATCGTTGTATCGACGTATTGTAACCTCCAAGTTCTTCTGGATGAAATAAATGTACGTTTTTTGAAATATTAAGTTGATAAATGTTTATAAATGCTCCGTACCAGCCTTGCCTTGGTATTCATACCAATGGAATGGAGAATGGCGAAAGTAGTATTTATTCCAAAACCAGGGCGTGCGACGTATGTTCAGGCCAAATCCTTTCGCCCGATTAGCCTAACATCGTTCTTACTTAAAACAATATAGAAGCTGATCGACAGGCATATCAGGAAATATGTTGTTACCAAAAAACCTCTACACCACAACCAATATGCCTATCACACGGATAAATTCTGCGAATCTGCTATCTATAAACTGGTGCTGAGGGCAGAAACCTTACTAGGGTGCAAATAAATTGCTTTGGCGGCTTTTCTGGACATAAAGGGAGCCTTTGACAAAACTTCTTTTCAGTCAATAGTCAGAGCGGTGAAAAATCGTGAAGTGGAGCCTTCAATATGTGAATGGATCCAAAACATGCTGAGCTGCAGAACAGCTACCGTCGCACTCGATGAAGTCAGCGTGGAGGCGCGGGTTGCCGGCGGGTGTCCGCAGGTAGGAGTTTTGTCGCCTCTGTTGTGGTTTGTATTCTCGAACGCAATCGACTGATCCCATCACGCAACGGCAGTAGAACAAGCTTCTCTTGCCAATTCTTGAGAGAACGCATCAGACAAGTAATAATTAAGAAGTTATCCTTTGTTTCTGGAACGCACCGTTTACCTGTTTTATAACAGTGTTTTTCGGTTTATAGAGGAGTGTTGAACGGTTATTTTCCAATAGGTTCCAATATGTTCCAACGTTGCAGTTTCACTTTGGAATTAGGTTTTAAAATGCGGTTCCAAAAGTAACATGTTCCAAATTCTTCATTCATTCAAATTCTTCATTAAAAACTCGCAATTATGATGATAGTAAATAATGATTTACTTAATAAAAAAATAATTCTTAGTATTGGTAAACTAAAACTAGTATATTCTAAAAACAAAAGATGGGTCATAAGTAACTAATTAAAGAAAAACAAAACTGATACTAAAATTGAATGATTTAAGTAGAATATACGCTTTGCATGCGAAAATGTTTAAAAAGTTCATTTTCATTTAAAAATGAATTAATATTTAAGAATAATTTTTTGCACGTGCTTTTTACTAAGTCTATTTCTCCGCTCGTTTATGATAGCACCCACTTTGGAAAATAATCTCTCGCATGGAACAAAAGTAGTACCATACCTGTGTTTTTTTGTTATAAAACAAGTTTGTAAAAATCTTGAAATATTGAATAATCTTCTTCTTGCCTATATTTTAACTGAACTTCCTCTGATTGATTGGACACCACAGTTTTTGCAGTAGCTTTTGAATTATTTTTCCCTGGTACTAAGTCAACAATTACATTAAATAGTCCAAATTAACAGTAATACTTAGACTAAAAATGCTAAATTATATCATCACCGAAACTGAACAATATTCCGCTGATCTGGCCGATTATGGTTCGGGAAGAACTGAACAGTAATTCTTATAGACGAAAAATGATAAACACAATCAAGTGGAACTGCGGTCTCAGGTTGCACGTCTGGAACACTGTTATTTTAGCGGTTACGTTAAATAGCGACCATCCCTAGTAGTTAGTTTATAGTTTAGGCGTCAATGGGCGTTTGAACTTTAGAATTCGCGAATAACGTGCAGCCGCAGCGTCTTTCATGCCGCGGGGTTTCTTTTGTATTGTCAATTTGAGGATGCGTTGCATTTTTAGCAACAGTATGAATTTCTATAAGTTTTCTATATATAAAATAGTGTGTGAAGTGTTTCTAGTATTTTCACCCTTCGATGAAGCCCAGCCAAATATTTGTGGCTTCCAAAAAAGATGTGCTGGTGTTTACTCAAAGTTAACCATAAACACTTTTGGGGTGTTATTCTCACATTCCGATCAATAATCCGCTTGGTTTTTCTTTGTAGGTAAATAAGGATGTCTCGCTATAACTCGGTCTGCAAGGTATACGTGGGCGACTTGGGCAACAACTTGCTTGAAAACAAGAAATTGAAGATGCAGGACCGAGGACGCGGTCAGAGGCCTAGGTAGATTTCTGCTATAATTTTAAGGACATGTCGGATAATGGTGGTTTAGATGGAAGAAGCATTTGTGGTCGACGTGCCAGAGTAGAGATGTCCATTGTTGTTTTTTAGCGGTTCTGATAATGACGTAATGGTCGAAAGTACTTGGTCTTATTTACCTAATACATACACACTTGATTTAAAAAAACTTGTTTGATTGAGTCCGACACTGTCAAATATCTTGGATAAGAAACTGTTTTTCATGTGGAACAGAAACCAAACAAGGCGATCAGGGCTTTATGGACTTGCAAACGCACTTATGGAAAAACATGGGGAATTTCACCGAAGATGTACCAGATCAGAACATGGATGATGGAATGAATCAAAATCAGTACATATCGACAGTCTCTGAACAAAGTTGAGAGGTTGTGTGTGGTCGTGTTTTCGTTAACTGTTAATTGTATATACTTTCCTGACTGTGTTTCAATTCCAAATCAAAATTAATTCCTGGGTTTCAGACATTTATTGTCTTTATTTATCAATTAAAATACGTTTCGGTGTATTTTTCCACCATCATCAGTTTTTACGTGTAGCGTTGTTGCTGCTTTAAGCCTTGGCATACATTTGGAGTATTTTACGTACGTATTTCAATTGATAAATAAAGACAATAAATGAATGAAACCCAGGAATTAATTTTGATTTGGTTAACTGTTAACTCAGTGACGTCTTGCCGTGTCCACATCGAGGCCGTGTGTTTCCGTTGGATATCAAATTTATGGGATTCCAAAACCAAAAACTATAAGAACAGAAACTTGAGGCACGATGCCCATATGGAAATTTGTAATGAATTTAACGTCCAATTATGTAATTGGAAATCTTCAGGCTCAATCTGCAAGAGTAGAGTTAAGTTTGCGAGAGGGAATAATTGATGTCATCTACAAATTTTTGGTCAAATTTTTTAAAATAATTATTCAAATTGACCTTCCGACATCCGAAAAAAAAATTCCGAACCACCGTTACACCTGTATTCAAGGCTCAATATGTTGACGTTATCTCTTTTAAATTCTGTATCAAATGGCTAGTGTTATATCTAGTTCTACTTTGAAGAGTTGATTGAACCCAAAATCTTTTTTTTGCGTGCAATTTTGCTTTTTTTAGTAGCGATAATAATATATGCCGCACAAGCAGCTATTACGTAATCTTCGTCAGACATGTTGATTTCGACTGATGAACAAACATTTCTATCAATTCTAGTGTGAACAGATCCAGTTTTGTCGCTTGCGGATCAACAAAATCGATGTCGATCGAGAGTGTCGAGTGTGAGGGCGCAGCTGAACACAAACAAATTAACCGAAAGGAAAAACGCAAAGATACGTGGAAACACCGCATTGTGTTTTCATTCCTGAAAGAAACAGATAAACCACCATCCGGCTATCGAAGCGCAAGATACCCTCAATCACTTGACGACGTTAGAAAAGATGCTCAAACTTTTGAGAAAAACACATTTATTATTTCTCTTCTTTAAGACAATTTCGCATGTAGAGTTATGGATTGTTGATACCTAAAACACACGATTTAGCAGCAAATACCACCGGACGATCTCATTTTCGTGCATAAATACGTGGTTTTGGAAAATCAAATGTCAAAAGTTTGTGAGTGATTTTTGGCTTAATTTATGGATCATCCAGGAATTTTTTTCGCTAAAAGTGCTTAATTTGAAGGGCTCTTTAAGGTAAAAAAGAGAAAACTTAAATTCGGAAGGAATCAAACGACACAAGCACCCTTTTTACATCTCTTGCACATATACGATTGTATTCTAATAAAAATAAAGATTGCATTCTGTGCATTCTGCATTTTGCAGTTTAATCGCAAATATCTCGGAAACAGAAGCTTGTTGGGTCATCGACTAAGAATATTGTTTTTGTGCAAAATTAATAGGCGCTCAGACCCAACCATTCTAGAAATCAGCATACCGGGTGACCAAAAAGTTAAAACCATTTTTCTGCCCAGATATGATGGGACATTTGAATTTCTTATGCTCAAAAACTTTTGTATACCAAATTTCGTCAAAATATGCAGTTCGGTTCAATATAGAAGAAAGAAAAACTTAAATTAAAATGTAAGTTTGACGCCCTGTATGTCGGCAACCGTCAACTTTTGGACTAAGGTAAGTTGTATTAAATCATCATATTTTCACCCCAGGAATCCGTCATTTTGTTTAGTGCATTACTTTTGGTACACCCTGTATACTTAGTTGACGGATTTCAGTTCTACAGGGACAACACAGGGGTGCAGTTTTTTCTATTTTGGCAAAAAGTAAGTAGCAGCAATTCCATTTTTTAACCATAAAAAAGCAGGATGTTTACTGAGTACTTAATAAGTATATAGAAACTTAGCTAAATTCGGGAAAATAGTTAACTATACCCCTCTGTTTAAGTCATACATGATGTTTTTTACATTATTTTTGAACCCTCTTACTTTAAATTTAAAATACTATGACTTCAGATATGATGATTATATTAATTTTCATATAATATGTTAAAATACACACCTGCAGGTTGCTCATCCATATTAAATCGGCGCTCAGTTTGCAAGTAAATAGGACACCGTTTCAAAGGTAAATGATGAAATTAAACATACAAATTCCGAATTGATTAAAGATTTTCTTGAAGGTCGGATTCCACATTTGCGGTATATACCAGGAACA